CCCTTCAAACAGAGGACTGCTTTTTTACTTTGTTGTTGTTTAGTCGTTTAGTCGTGTCCCACTCTTTGTGACCCCATGGATCAGAGCACGCCAGGCACTCCTGTCCCCCACTGCCTCCCACAGTTTGGTCAAACTCATGTTAGTAGCTTCGAGAACACTGTCCAACCATCTCGTCCTCTGTCGTCCCCTTCTCCTTTGTGCCCTCCATCTTTCCCAACATCAGGGTCTTTTCCAGGGAGTCTTCTCTTCTCATGAGGTGGCCAAAGTATTGGAGCCTCAGCTTCACGATCTGTCCTTCCTGTGAGCACTCAGGGCCGATTTCCTTAAGAATGGAGAGGTTTGATCTTCTTGTAGTCCATGGAACTCTCAAGAGTCTCCTCCAGCACCATAATTCAAAAGTATCAATTCTTCAACGAACAGCCTTCTTTATGGTCCAGCTCTCACTTCCATACATCACTACTGGGAAAACCATAGCTTTAACTATACGGGCCTTTGTTGGCAAGGTGATGTCTCTGCTTTTTAAGATGCTTTCTTACTAGCTAGCTTAATATTGCCTATACTCTGGCCGGCACTGGGTCTCTAGGACACAAGACATTTACACCACCTGTTACCTGATCCTTTTTAATATGGATGCCACAGCCTTCCACAAAACTAGCACTAGTATATGGTCACGATTATTTAAATGAATAAATATAATCTCCTAGTAAGCAAGTGGTGGATGGGTCTGTCAGGTGCAACTCAGTATTCAGATGATAACATGTTAAATTTCCTTCCCTCTTAGCTTTCACCACATTCCAAATACCTGGTTCCTATTTTCATGCGTAAATGTTCTTCTTAGACACAAATAAATAAATGCATTTTTGTTATCTAAAGTGTTTTCTCTTGCATGCCCCCAGACTGATGAAAGCGATCAATTATTCAGCGTACAAAGCTCTCTGACGCTGACTCACGGCTCAGGCCTATTTTTTTGGCCTTGTTTTCATTAACTTCTCTATTAATGGCCGAATCTTCAGCCAGGTGAAAACCTTCCCCAGAAATTGCCTGGCTTCGATCAAGCCCAGGGGCTCGTCACCCCCTAAATGGGTTTTGGAACACACTGTTTTTGATTTGGTGGAATAATATATGGTCCCAGATTTAGCAAGGAAAATATTAATCTGTAAAGATTTGCGGACCACTCTTTAGAAGACGAGAAGCACAGTCAGAAAGTGGGTGGCTGTTACTAGGCAACTAGTGCAATACTCAGACCTGGGCATCGTTGGGCAGCTGCTAATGTCCTGGCACCCCAGCAGGGTCAACTACCAACACCTGCTCTGGACCCTTCTTCAAAAATATATTTATATATATTGGCCCTCCAGTCAGCGCTGGGATTCTGGGTATGGTAACAGGATTGACCCAATACATTTTGCTATTTGTGACAAGAGACTGCCTCCTCACCACCCCATTTTAGGTGTGAATCCAGACTGGCAGTTGACTCTTACTAGCAAAGGGTCAGTGCTCTCCACTGAACCTGAGGACAGCATGCTCTCCTAAGGGGCACAGATCTGGTCACATAACCATCCTTCAGCATCCGCTACCTGAGATGGCCGCTTCACTCTCAACCATAGGGCTGCCATGTGTCTGGATTTTCCCATATATTACTGGCATTTAAAGGTGGAATTGACGTCTGGGGGAATTTCCGAAAGGTGGCGCTTTGTCCTGGATCTTAGACAAGACAACTGAAAAATCCCCCCCCTTTTTTTTTTGGTGTTTTTGTGAAGAAAAGAGCTCAACAACCTTTGAGGTGTCTTGGTTTTTAATTTTTGAAGTATGGCAACCCTACTCAACCATCCCGTTTTAAGCAGACACCCCAGAATGACAGAAGCCATCCCGGCTTCTGATTGGATCCCAGAATGTCCTATTTTTGGGTCTAGCACTCTGAGTGAGCTGGACTGGGGTGGTGCAGGCACCAATGCACTCCATGGTCAGAAACAGAACCTCTGCACAAAATGGTCACTGCCTCTCTTTTAAATCAGAATCAGTGAAGGCGGTGAATGTCCTGTGTGAGTGTCTGGAGGCAGTTGGAGGATGGATGGCAGCTAATGGATTGCAGTTGAATCCTGACAAGACAGAATTACTGTTTTGGGGGTGGGCAGGTGTGGGGGACTCCCTGGTCCTGAATGGGGTAACTGTGCCCCTGAAGGACCAGGTGAGCAACCTGGGAGTCATTTTGGACCTGCAGCTGTCCATGGAGACACAGGTTAATTCTGTGTCCAGGGCAGCTGTCTACCAGCCCCATCTGGTATGCAGGCTGAGACCCTCCCTGCCTGCAGACTGTTTCGCTAGAGTGGTGCATGCTCTGGTTATCTCCCGCTTGGACTACTGCAATGCTACCTTTGAAGGTGACTTGGAAACTACAACTAGACTGGTGGCTGGGAATGGCCTCCGAGACCATATAACACTGGTCCTGAAAGACCTACATTGGCTCCCAGTACGTTTCTGGGCCCAATTCAAAGTGTTGGTGCTGACCTTTAAAGCCCTGAACAGCCTCAGCCCGGTATACCTGAAGGAGCATCTCCATCCCCATCGTTCAGCCCAGACACCGAGGTCCAACACCAAGGGCATTCTGGCGGTTCCCTCACTGCGAAAAGTGAGCTTACAGGGAACCAGGCAGAGGGCCTTCTCAGTAGTGGCGCCCACCCTGTGGAACGCCCTCCTATCAGAAGTCAAGGAAATAAACAACTATCTGACTTTTAGAAGACATCTGAAGGCAGCCCTGTTTAGGGAAGTTTTTAATGTTTGATGTTTTATTATATTATATGTATACATTATACAGTATTATACCCAGCCAGATGGGTGGTGGGATATAAATAAATAAATGTGTCCCAGAAACCCCTGGTGATTGTTCCAGCAGCGGTTAATCGCCACACAAATATATGGTGAAATAATGACCCATGCAGATGATATTAATTGCACGTTTGGGCTAAAGGTGGGTCCTAAATCTGAAAAGGCTTAGGCTATTGGTTTGAAGGTGTGGCAAATAAATTGAGAAGATGGAGAAGAAGTTCAACTGACTACTGGATAGCCAGAATTCTCCTTCAGTCTAGCAACACTTCTCTTTTTTCTAAGTCCTAAGGGACAGGCAGCTGTCTGGAATAGGAATCCCATTTAAGTGTCAGGTTCGTGTCCATCAGCCCCTCTGACTTCATCTGCATGCCTTTTAAAAAGAAAATAAAGTAAGGCTAGGGAGGAATAAGTGTATACTCATTTGATAGCAGCTGCATTGATGCACTGAAATTGCCTCTCCTCTCTCTTTTGTTTAATCCGGTCAGGGGGAAGAGATGGAGCAAGCGGGGGAGGGCGAGTTATAAAAAGGTCAAACACATAACTTTGCAGCCTTCTGCCGTCTCCATCCTTTTCTTTTGCAATTATTCTCTCTGATTAAACTCCCAGATAAGTCTAGGCACTGTTGCCCGGCCCTTCACGTTGAATGATTTTATGCATCAGTTCCTCCTGGCATGGCTCAGAGCCCTGCCACCTCCACTGCAGCCGGCGATCTCGCCTTTCAGCGGCTGACATCCACCAGCATTTCCGTCCAATTTCTGTGGAAGGCTGAAGAGGAAAGGATGCTCAAGCCTGGGGAAAGGGGGGGGGAGACACGCCACCATTAACCCCAGAGAGGATTTCGTGATACTAGAGCAGTGCAGCCCAATTGGTGCTGTGGGTTAAACCACAGAGCCTAGGGCTTGCTGATCAGAAGGTCGGCGGTTCGAATCCCCGCGACGGGGTGAGCTCCCATTGCTCGGTCCCTGCTCCTGCCAACCTAGCAGTTTGAAAGCACGTCAAAGTGCAAGTAGATAAATAGGTACCGCTCCGGCAGGAAGGTGAACAGTGTTTCCGTGCGCTGCTCTGGTTTGCCAGAAGCGGCTTAGTCATGCTGGCCACATGACCCGGAAGCTGTACGCCGGCTCCCTCGGCTAATAAAGCGAGATAAGCGCCACAACCCAACCCCAGAGTCGGCCACGACTGGACCTAATGGTCAGGGGTCCCTTTACCTTTACCTTTAGAGCAGCGCAGCCCAATATCTGGATGGTTAATTCCAAGTCAATATATGAATTCCAACCCACATCTCTTTTGGCTTCTCTACTCCATTGGCTTCCCTAGCTCACTTCTGCCCTACGGAGGAGGTGGGGTTGCGGGCGTCACAGCCCAGACATGCGCGTGACGGCTGGAACCAGCCGCTGCACGATTGGCGGGGATTCCCAGCCGGGTCATCCCCTGGCCAACCAATTGGCTGGCTCAGGGGGCGTGGCCTGCCCGATTTAAACCAGGACGCGACCGGGGATCTCCCTCTTTGCCGCCTCCCAGCTGTTCCTGCTTTCCCCACCCTCCTGCCCTATAAGGTTTTGCTATGGACCTTGGTTGGTCGCCGTTGAGGGGCTTGGTAGGAATTTTTCCACTTGGCAAATTGGCACCAGCCACTTGGTTTTCGCCTACCTCATAGCAAATCGTCACAACTTTCTGGGTATTGGTGGTTAGGCATTGGTATTGTTCCGTAGATGGAAGAGGGGAGGTAGCGCCATCACCTGCCCCACATATTGTAGGGTAGTCCGATAAAGGATTCTGGGGGCGCATGGCCCTGTCCGAACCCTGGAGAGGTGAGGGCCTAAGGCATGCCCCCAAACGGTGACCCCAGGGGAGTTCCTAGTTGATGTGCATCAGCAGGACTCCCCCTACTGGTGGTTAACCCTTCCTGGACTTCAAGCGGACGAGCTGAAGTCGGATATAGTCTGTTAGGACCAATGCCTAAGCCAATACCGCTCATCACCTGTAACCAATAAAGTTGTGGCCTTATTTAGCCCATTAACCTTAATAATTGTGTCATGTGTCATTATTTCCACTGGTGGGGGCAGGAGCTCGCCACGCAACACAGGAAGCTGCCTTACACCAACTCAGGCCATTGGTTCATCTAGCTCAGCAGTGATTCTCCAGGGTTTCAGCCAGAAGTCTCTCCTAGCCCTACCTGGAGATGCTATGGGGATTGAACCTGGAACCTTCTGCATGCAAAGCAGATGCTCAACTTCTGAGCCACCTGGTCTCCAAGGAATCATTCAGGCCTATGGAGGCACCATAGTTCACTGGCAGAAGCTCTGCACACATAAAGTCCTTCCAGGAATCAATCTCTGGCATCTTCAGTTAGAAAGGTTAGGTTAGACTTACCATATGTCCATAATTTCCCGGACATAACTGGAACTCGGCCTTTGGAAACAGTGGTGTAACATCTGGGAAAATCCTGATGTATGGCAAAACTCAAAAGCTTTGTGTTCAGATTTTCACTTTGTGAAATACGGCAACACTAGGTTAGGTAGCAGGTGATGTGAAGGATCATGTGCCTGAGATGCTTGAGAGTAGGCAACCCAATAAAAGATGGGCATATTGTATGATCCAGGAAAAGGCAGTTTTTGTGTGGACACATTTGCACATCCATGTAAACTATGAACTATAGCTTACCATGCATGAACTGGTCACAACCAGTTTGCTCCTCCCCACCAGCACTCAGGAGAAACAAACCATAGTCTCTGGTTTAGGATATATATCGGAATCAGAGACCATTATTTGTTTAGCCCCAACATTTTGTCTTTCTTGACACCCTGCATTGATATTCTCATCCTCCATGAATTTGCCTCATTGGTGGCCATCACTGTCTCTTACACGAGCAAATTCCATAGTCTGAATATGTGCTGTGTGAAGAAGTACTTTAGGTTAAGTGCTCCACTCACCGGCTGTTGCTCCTTATAGCTGCCACCTGTTTGCTTGCTCAACTGCTTGTTGAGTGGCCAGGAGCTAGCAATGTCACTATATTGACCTCTGGAGCTGGTCTGAACTGAGCCTGGATTTGACTAGTGGACATCCCTTTTTCAACAATAAAATAATGTCCATGGTGGTTGGTGAGAAATTACAGAAATCCTTTCATGCTCTTTTTGTTCTGAATTGAGCTGAACTGAGCATTGAAAGGAATAAGGATCTTTTTCATCCATTGCAACATTGAAAAGTCACCAGTGTGCTGAAATCAGGCAGGAAAACTGAGAGAGGTTTTTGTCTCCATTACGTGGAAATATTTACTGCGAAGGCTACCCAGTGGAAAGAGGTAAACAACAACCTATGCCGTAATTCAGCACTTGTGAGATAATTGGCCCTCACATCTAGCAAGAGAACTGAATTGTATTTCTGAACGGCATCGTTTTCAGAAGCTTCTCTCTGAACTCAGCGGTTTCTTAGTGACATTCCCAGCCTCTTAGATTTTGTAGTTGAACTGTCAATAGGGTGGCCATGTGTCCGACATCCTTTCTTTGAAGGGTCATCTGGGTCAAGCCCATCTTAAAGATTAAAACCTCTAAGAGAGGAGAGCAAGGTTCTTGAGGTCTCCCATCAGCACCTGAAGATCAGACTGAAGAGGCACACACACTACCTTCCCAGCTATGGTGTGATGCATTTCTGTTTACATTATCTTGATTGGGTTGCATCCAAATGAGCTCTTCTCACACAAGACCCACGAGATTAATAGACCTGGGTTGCGCATGTCCATTCCTTACATTGGGTTTACTCTGAGCAGGACTCATGTTGGATGGACCTTCGACCTGATCCAGCAGGTCTTTTCCCATGTCTGCCTCCATGCATAGGGGAATAAGCATGACCATGGAGGGATGAGAAGGCATCTCCAGATTGTCCCACTTCCACTTGGAACTCTCATACATGCCAGCATATGTCCATCACTCAAGGAGAAGGCCTTGGAGGAAGTGGGTGTGTGGGTCAGTGGTACACGACCGTGGAAAGTGAAGTCTACAGACCACCTGAAGGTGACCCCATATAACCTCTGCACAAATATGTGCGTGAGATTGGGGAGGGGGAAGACCGAAGTCTCCAGTGCTGTAATGTCTCAAAGGGAAGACATCCTCCTGTAAAGATTTCAGTGAACTGCCCAGGCCACTGGAGAGCGAAGGAGAAAAGCACCCTCTCCCATAATTTAGAGCATGGGTAGGCAAACTAAGGCCCGGGGGCTGGCCCAATCACCTTCTAAATCCGGCCCACGGACAGTCTGGGAATCAGCGTGTTCTTACATGAGTAGAATGCGTCCTTTCACAGTGATACCTCTGGTTAAGAACTTAATTCATTCCAGAGGTCCGTTCTTAACCTGAAACTGTTCTTAACCTGAGGTACCATTTTAGCTAATGGGGCCTCCCGCTGCTGCCGTGCGATTTCTGTTCTCATCCTGAAGCAAAGTTCTTAACCCGAGGTACTATTTCTGGGTTAGCTGAGTCTGTAACCTGAAGCTTCTGTAACCTGAGGTACCACTGTGTTTAAAATGCACCTCTGGGTTATTTGTGGGGCCTGCCTGGTGTTTTTGCAGTAGAGTAGAATGTGTGCTTTTATTTAAAATGCATCTCTGGGTTATTTGTGGGGCGTAGGAATTTGTTCTCCGCTCCCCCCCAATATAGTCCGGCCCCCCATAAGGTCTGGGGGACAGTGGACTGGCCCCCTGCTAAAAAAGTTTGCTGACCCCTGATTTAGAGCTTCTGGGAAGTGCTCTCTGTCGAAACCATTTGCTCAAGGAAGCATTTTTAACCTGGGCCCTAAAACAGAAGGAGAGGCTGAGAAGGAAATCTTTTTAATGATCACTTTTCCTATTCAAAGTAGGGAAAATAATTACCCGAAAATAATATTTTTGCTCGCGGATCAAGGCAAATAGTTTCCCAGGGAGAAGGCGGTGGTAGCAAGGGGCTTTACACAGGCAGGCCTTTGTGGTTTTTTATGGACGGTCATCCGTCAACTGTCAGGTTCTTTCAAAGGAACACTGGTTATAATGTTTTCCCTCTGCACCTTTCCCATCACGATGGCTCAAGTTTGCCTGAGTAACCATCCGTCTTCCTGTTTGCATAGTCAAGGCACTTACAATGAGCTGGGACGTAATGATGCTACTGCAGCTGTATAACATTTGGGCTTGGCTGGAGTAGGCTTGGGTGGTTGGGAAGTGTCTAACATTTTAACTAAATTTGGTGCAGTTGGACGTCCTTATAGGAGGGATTCCACCCCCCACCCCCCAGGACACAAAATGTCTTTGGAATACAAATGAATCCATTTTCTTTTGAGTAACCCTAATGAAATTAACGGGATTTCACTGGTAAAGGGAGAGCAGGCTTTGGATGGTGGGCTTAAGGGCAGCTTTGCATGCCTTAAATTGGTATATATAATTAAGACTACACTTATACTGACTTATATTACAATTTTTATTGTTTTTTCACCACCCTGCCTTCCAAAGGAGCCCTGGGTGACAACAGAAACCAAAGGACATTTTTTTCTAATTGATGAACAATATCTGAGATATCTTTTGGAATCCTGATCCCACCACAAAGTACATTTTAGCACATATGTGTTTGCATACTGCCTCAATACTAGAACATGGGATCATCCATTGAGGCTGAATCATGGGAGATTCAACACTAGTGACGATCTGACTTTTATGTAGGTACTATATTTTATGTAAACTGCTTGGAGGTTTCGGTTGTTAAGTGGTATATAAATCTTGTTAAATGAAATGAAAGAAATATGATATCAAAGAAAGGGGAGGAGGAAGGGGGAAGATGCTGGGTTTTGGCTGCATTCTGGCGTAGAATTTTACAGGTATGAAAATGAGTTGTTTTCATATACATCAGTTTTTATTCAAAACCCATTAGCTTCCCTGACTTTATTTATTCTAGCAGGGAGAAATGGAGGACCACATGCTATTATTATTATTATTATTATTATTATTATTATTATTATTGCAGGCTACAGTTTATTTGGTGATGTGTCTTCTTTCTGGTCAGAAATGGTTGTTCGTAAGACCTTTGCTTTATAGAAAAACCCTCGACATTTGCAGATGTTAATGCAGTTGTGAGTTATATTCCTGTAGCGTGGTGAGTAACAGATGCACAGTGACAGTGGTCCTGCAAGTTCTTATGGTTGCATAGACTTTTACTGCAAGGCTAGAGGGATAAACACCAACCACCTACCATGCAATGGTCTGAAGGTGTCACTACCCTTTGTACATTTGAGTGTGTAGCTTATAATCGTCAATCTCGTTTGGACACCTATTTGGATATATTGACTGTCTATATTAGTTTACACAGTGAAGTCAGGATTGATGGAACACTTTTATAGTTAATGGCAATGTCCCCCACACTTAGCTATTTTTCATTCATTCATTCATTTCATTTATGGAATTTATATACCGCCCTATACCTGGAGGTCTCAGGGCGGTTCACAATAAAAAAGAAAATATTTTTGCAACAACAAAATAGAAGATAGTTGCATCCTCATAGTATCTCGAGTTTTCTTTCAGATGATGTGGTGTGAGAGAGATAGGCGACAGAAGCAAAACCCTTCAGAATGGGATCAGGCTTTCGAACTCCAGCGATGCCCTGGCCGAAACAATAGATATTAAGCAAGAAAAGACTCCCAGCGTCTTGACAAAAAGCTCTCCCGGAGGATTACAATGCAGTCAATGTTGCTTTAATTAAATTTAATGCTGTGTGAAATGCACTCTGAGAAACTTTGATGAATGACTGGGGCAATTCACGCAGCTCACGAAAGGGCACTGAGCCCTTGCTGGGGTGTCAAGGCACAATGAATTGGTTAGTACAGGCATGTTTATAGACTGCCTGAGGAACCTTGTATCTGTGTGGTAATGTCAGAGATAATGTTATGATTCGCTGGACCTCAGGGGGGCTTTGATGACACGGTTAATGAGATGCCCTAAGGAGCTGCCAGCAGGTGTCTTCAAGACCTCCCACATCAAACAGCCACAGCTTGGCCCCTTCAGAGGCTGCCATCTAAATCCCCCTCAGCTGGGTCTTTCTTTCCATTAGGCCATTTCCCCCAATTCGTTTTCTCTCTATCTCTTTCTTTCTCTCTCTCTCTCTCTCTCTCTCTCTCTCTCTCTCTCTCTCCACCCCCTCCGCTCTTCTCACTCACACACAGATAGTCAACTTTAACTTTGTCCGGCTGTCGAAATCCAAAAGTTGTTAGTTTGTAATTTGCTTTCTCTTTGACCTAC